GCATTGCCATACAATATTAATCATTTCTGGGCTGTCGAACCGTGACGTCACCTGATAAGCAAGCCTTGCAGCTGCTATAACGTTAGCCAAAACATGAGGAAAAGTCAAGGTGCATGACTGTTGTTTTCGTGGTGTGTATCTAAAACAATTGGACATAACCTTACACATTAAGACAAATATTAAGACTAGCATTACAGTTGACCCTAACAGCTCTTTTCCTGTAACCTTGACGTGCCTGCAGTCTGCACTGCAGGCTGAACAGTTAACAGCCTAAGCTAGTCAACCTGTCTGGACTAACATTACTAGACAACAAATCTCTGAATATCTATCTAACTAAAAAATAACCTAACAAACACCAACAATAGAAAGTGGGAAAGAAAATCAGACTGGTCAGATTTAGATTAATTTACTCCCCAGAGAATCTTTCTACTTGTTTCATCTGATCATCGTTTCCACTGTTTAAATTTTGGTGCCTGCAGTCCACATGTCGAAGTGTCCTTGGGGAAGACACTGAACCCCGAGTTGCCCCAAGTTGGTGCCGCAGATGGCTGCCTCGGTTCTGTACTGGAAACAAAGTCCTTGTGTGTGTAACATACTTGGCCAAATAAAGTGATTATCATTAATGACCGTTGTATCATTAGCAAACTGTAGGAGCTTGACAGATGCTGACATCTGATGTCTGATGTTGACAGTCCTTCGAGATGTGGTCATTGATGTAGAGTGAAAACAGCAGAGGGGAGAGCACACATCCCTGAGGGCACCTGTGCTTATTGTCCGGGTGCTGGATGTGGTTTTCCCCAGCCTCACCTGCTGCTTCCTGTCTGTCAGAAAGCTAGTAATCCACTGACAGGTGGGGGCAGGCAGTGAGCTGGGTCAGTTTGGAGTGGAGGATGTCTGGGATGATGGTGCTGAACGCCAAGCTCAAGTCCATAAAGAGGGCCCATGTGTAGGTCCCTGGGGAGTCAAGGTGTTGCAGGATGTAATGCAGTGCCATGTTGACTGCGTTGTCCACTGACTTGTTTCCCCATCAGGCAAACTGCAGGGGGTCTACAATGTCCTTCAGCTGGGCCAACACCAGTCTTTCAAAGGACTTCATAACTACAGCTCTACAGGTCTGTAGTCGTTCAGTCCACTGATGGAGGTTTTCTTGAGGACTGGGTTGATGGCTTCAGTGATCTCTTGAAGATAAATGTGAGGATGGGGCCAGCTGATCGGCACACACTTTCAGGCAGGAGGGGGGTCACGCCATCTGGGCCTGGTGCCTTTGTGATCTTTTGTTTATTAAAAAGGCCATGCATCAAAGTTGACAGATAGAATGTTGATTCTGAAAAGTGTACCATGACACCAATTGTTTTCATATATTAAATCTTGTTAGATTATGTCTGAATGAATGCCTTAGCTAAGCACCACGTGACAACACACACACATTTAAATTCCTCATTTTGTTATGACTAGGTAAAATCCATCTGCTCCAAGCCTGTAGAGCACTAGATAAGAGATGGAGTCTGCGGACTGACTTCTTTCTGCCCAAAACTTATAAATGTATTAGGCTCAGTGTTTCCGGGGCTCTCCCTTTTTCCAGCAGCCTGCATAGGGATGCCTGGAAGGGGGATCCACCCGGGTTGTGTTTTGTAATTTTGATTGTGGTCTAAAATATATCAGCACTAAAATGAAGAAAGACGGACTTCTTCGTTATTCAGATCTGTCCAATAAAAGAACTGGGGTATTACATTTTTTAAAGAGGCCATGCACATCCTTTTCACAAATCATTAGAGGTCAGGGGCTGGAGGGAAGGATGGTGATTGTTGGGGGAGCAGCTACTGTGGGGAGGGTGAAGGGGGAGTGTTGTTTGTCAGACCTGCAGTAGAACACATTCGGGTCGTCTGCTAGTTGACAGTCCTTCACAGCGGGGGGGATGGTTAACTATAGCCAGTGATGGTTTTCAGGCTCCCCCACGCAGGCGAGGGGTTGTTGGCTGAAACCTGAGCTTTCAGCTTTTCAGAGTAGCTCCTCTTTTCTGCTTTGATCTCCTTTGTCAGTGTGTTCCTGGCCTGGCTGTACAAAGTCCTGTTCCCATTTCTGTAAGCCTCCTCTTTGGCACGACAAAGCTGCTTGAGTTCAGCTCTAAACCAGGGCTTGTTGTTGTTGTATGTGCAGAAGGTCTTTTTGGGCACACACACATCCTCACTGAAACTGATATAAGATGTCACAGTGTTCATCCAGGTCTGTAGCTCCAGTCTCAAATACACTACAGTCTGTGCAGTCAAAGCAGGCCTGTAGCTCTGACTTAGCCTCCTCAGTCCAGCTCTTCACTGTTTTGACTACAGGCTTCGCTTTAGTTTCTGCCTGTAGCTTGGAATAAGATGGACCATACAGTGATCAGAGAGTCTGAGGGTTGTGCGGGGGACAGAGCGATAGGTGTTTTTTATTGTTGTGTAGCAGTGCTCCAATGTGATTTTGTCCCTGGTGGGACAGGTGATGTGCTGTCCATGACAAAGCTGAGACTTTAACGTTAAGTTCTTTAAGGTGCTGAACATAATTTGGACCCACAGGACTACAGAACAACTACACAGAGGAAACAGTGGTCATTTTATTTATTAATGGACCAATGAGGTAAAAAGGATTCTACAGGTTTGTGCTTTACAGAGTGCTGTGATGGGTTTACAAAATATCGCTGTTGCTTGGTCATAATTTCATTCATTATACATGTCGTTCTGATATTTGAGTGAATGAGTCCAGATATATGAAGTGAGAAAAAAAAAAACTGATGCACAAAAGTGATTTTAAAATAAACTTTTTTTTCTTCTTCTCTCTTACACCATCACGTAGCAATTCTCAGTCTTGTCGGCAGTGGTGCAGTGCCACCCTGGTGTTGTGAAATAGCCGGGTTATAGCAGGTGTTTGTCATCGGCCTGATTCACAACACCAGCTGTAGCACACACACCTGAAAGGCAGGTCTTCTGCTGCTGGAGCAATTCAGACACACAAAAGGTAAATTGTACAAGAACCACAGAGAGGAACACTTCATTCAATAGGGATGTAAAGAGATGATACTGTTGACTAAAGCCTGAATAGTCAGGAGCCTCTGTAGCGGACTGGATTACCCAAGTGTGACCTGATTTTAGTTGGGGATAGCCATAGGCAAGACATTGAGTGGGAGGGTAGCTCTGGAGTACAACAGCTCTGTCTGTGGGCATGGATGAACTCAATATCTGTACAGTATGTGGGGCAGCCAAGACAGAATGAACCTCCATCTGTGTTCTCTCAGGCCAGACCGAAGGACAAAGAGTATAGGCCTCAGATTTAACAGACCCGATGGTGGATGATTGGTTCTGAAGATCTGTGTGTTCAGTGTCTCTCAGTGGAAATCAAGTTTTGCTGTAAAATATCTGACAGACATTGGTGGGCTGTTGCTGGATACTTGACTGGGCATTCAGGTAGATTTCAAAGGTGGTGCTCTAGGTCCCTCTTGCTGTATTATGCTTTCTGAGCAATCATGGTTCAGGGTGAATATTTTGTGTGATATTCTAAAGGTAAATTTGAGCACCAAATATTTTAAGTGCTTTCAATTTCAAATAGTGGCTATGAGCACTCATCAGTACCATTTCCAATTGTTCTCAAAGAGAAAAACATGTAATGTTAAAACTGCAGGACTATTCTAGCTTTAAATTTGCTTAACAGGGCTAAATTGCTTAAAAGATGAGGCCAGTCAATTTTCTATATTGAGTATTCTCAACACTCCCCATACAGAGACTGAAACCAACACAGAATTGTCTCAACTCACTGTCAGTCCTGGATTAGCTCATTTGTCTGTGCCATAGATCTCCACTGCTGCTCATAAATGATTAAAAATGCATCAGGGACACACAGTGCTGCTCTGGGTGACATACAGTACTGCTTCATTATGAAACACAAAACCTTAATATTTATTAAAATATATCCAGAGACCTCATGTATGTGGACATTATAAAGAGTTATGGTGGTTTGTAGCCTTTAGGGCAACACTTTTAACAACTATTGAAGTCTGGGGTTTTGCAATGAGGAAACCTGTCAACCAGCACAGCAGTGTGTGGTTTTAAACAACAATGCAGGTTTATGGCTCAGATGAATAAGCTAATCCAGGACTGACAGACATAAATAGTGAGTAGAGACAAATCACTGTTGGTTTATCTCTGCATGAAGAGTATTTAAAATACTGTTAATATAGAAAATGACCAGACAAATCTCTTTTCCTGGTATTATGAAAACCTAACATGACTAAGAGGCACCTTCCGTATTTAGTGTTGAAAAAGCCTCCTCCCTTCATTACCACAGAAATGACCCATCTGTTACAGAGGCTCTGTCGTGTTGACTTCAAGCCAACCAAGCACCTGTCTAGGGACAGAATGTGTTACAGATACTTCAGTACAACCTGTGGAGACAACATGGGATCATCCTGAATTCATGAGGACATTTTCTTAGCTGTATTCTATCAATTTGTCTGTGGTTTGTGTCAGTATTTTGGGTATAGAGCAAGGTACCCAAATCACGACAAACCTAATGGAGGACATTCTTTCTTTATGTAACAAACCTGTGTTGATCCACCATGGATGTCTTGAATGTCATTAATGAATCCACCACGTGGAATGATCCACGTGTGATGTAAATCCACATTTATCACCTTGTTTTGAGGGGTTGTGTAAGAAGCTCTTCAAAACAGTTACCCTTCAGTCACAGTAAATGTAGAGCAAAACTCCCTCCAGAGTGAATGACGTTCAAAAAGTGGAATAAATGCACCACTGAAATGACTTAGATGAAGAAAACAAGTCTGTGAGAATGTTAAAGTCTTGAAATTGAAGACTGATATAAAAGATGTCCAATTTTGTACCTGGACTGTAAAGTTACAAGGCTTATACAGTGTCTTGTACAATTAAAGACTTAACTGACTGCTCTGTGTGTGCATCAGTTATTCTGAAAAACTGTAAAGCAAGAAGCTAAATAAAGTATGGAAAAAAGGGGGGTGGAGTGGATGAAAAAATTTAATTGACTGTGTTCAAATAAAAACAAATACATGCTGTACGCAACTACATGCTACACAAAAAGTACATTTTTTTTAAACTCCAAATTATTAAAGACACAAATATGAAATAACAAAATGGGAAAAAGAAAAGGAGAACAGACTGACACCAGGAACGGGCAGACAAATGACTGAATGTGAGAGCAATGGTATCCGCAAAAGGTTTGTGGTTGTCAGGAACATTTTGCATGCTTGTCTGTTGATATCGACTCAGTTCATCAGTAATTCCATCTGCACCAGTCTTGCGTTGGTGTCCCCGGCCATGTTGTAGGGAATCATACCAGCAAAGGTGATCAGTGCTCTGGCCTGGCTGCGCAGTTGCTTTTTAATGAACAAGAAGGGATTTGACACATAAATGTACAAGTACAGTTTAATGTATAGGACAAAAAACTCACAGTAAATATCTGCAGCACGAAACTATAGAACTGGCTACCACATCAGAGGACTAGCTACCTTTAACTGTCCTCCATGTAAACTGTAGACTTAGACCATGCACTTTTTTCCATGTAAATTATTTAGCAATGTTAGAGCAATGTAAAGATTTTTACAGTGTCTGTAATATCCGTTGTAACCTGCCAAATCTGATCTGTAATAAGAATAAATTAGAGCCTGAGCGTGGCTGATATTATCAGACAGCATGAGCGAGTGCTTCAAATACAAATAAAATAATATATATAAATATTAAAAAAGTCCTGCCTGGCTTCTCACCATGTCCCTGTCCTCTATGGTCCTCTGTGGTCGTCCTGGTGTGCCTGCTGGCACCCCCTTCAGGCGTTTGTACTGAGTGAACAGGATGTTCATGGTGGCCAACAGCACCTCGGATAGGTTGTGTCGCACCTGGAGACAAAGAGGCAAGTTTATGAAATCTACATTTTTAGAAAGAAAAAGAAAAATGTCATCTGACTGTCCCTTGTGAGCATTTAAAAAGTGATCACACCTCATCACTGAAGTTCCTGAAAGCAGCCACTCTCTCCTCCACACTGTCCTGACTGAGAGGAAGAAGCTTTAAACGCTCCATCACCTGACCGAGAAACAGAGAGGGATGACATTAACACAGGATCTGTATACGTTCAACACACATCTCATCGCTACAACAGAGTCATCAGGGTATCATGTACTAGATTTGCATGTGTCATCTAATGCATCTCTCCGGAACACTTGTACTAATCAGAGGGACTTTGGGACAATTTACAGTGGGTATGGAAAGTATTCAGACCCCCTTAAATTTTTCACTCTTTGTTATATTGCAGCCATATGCTAAAATCATTTAAGTTCATTTTTTTCCCTCATTAATGTACACACAGCACCCCATATTGACAGAAAAACACAGAATGTTTGCAGATTTATTAAAAAGGGAAAACTGAAATATCACATGGTCATAAGTATTCAGACCCTTTGCTCAGTATTTAGTAGAAGC